ATTTGAATCTAATTGTAAGTAGATTTTCACTTGACATTCACCATTTTCAAGGTACGAACTAACGGATTTGCTAGATCTTGGTCCATACGCAGCCCAAAGGGTATCATAGGTTGAAAAGACTGCATCGCCGCCTCCCTCAAAGAATTCCGGATAATCGTCACCAACCGTCTCGAAACCATTCGCTTTGAACCATTTCAGATAATGCTCCTGCTCACCAGTCCTTTCCTAGAATTAAAATTGCGAACCCTTATCAAATCCTATCAAATTGTATGAAATCCTCTGTTGATATATATCAAAACTTTAAATGATCAATGAGATACCGTAAAGTTAATAATAATAAAGTTTTCAACAGATGCTTAGATACAATCCAAACAGTGGTTCAATAGCCTGGTTCAGTCTTGATTTTAAAAAAATCAATTTGCTAGGCGTTTAAATCGCTTATGATTGCGACTAAACGTGAACAGCTATGTGATTCTTTTTGATCATTTTTGATCATCTCCCAAATCCCAGTCCACCCACAACATTGAATAAAAGCGAATGAACCTTATGTCGGAAACGTGACAAGTACACCTTATTGTTTAGCACTAAACCACTATTACATACGAATACCATATCTGGTAGTCCTTGCACTTGGTCCAATGTTAAAACCTGAAATTGAACAGCGATATTTCGACGGTTGTAATTGTCAAAGTAATAGTTGAGCTCTTTCGATGGCTGAATGAGATGATAGACCCAGCCGAAACAACTAAAGGATGGATCGACCGATGTAATCAAGCGAATTGTCAAGGTAATGTCACAAAGAAGATGGACGATACGTTCATCATGTTTTCCAACTCACTTTTATGAAAACTGTAAATTCAGATGCACATTCGTCGATTTTATAGAACTATCTGTGTACGCATTAAAAATTTCGCTTGCCTCAACTCCAGTTTTTTGAATCACTGATTTCAAAGTATTCCATTGATCGAACGCCTTCTGTTTATCCACCACGCCACCCATCCATGGATTTATCGTATACTGCAAGTGTTTCATCCATTAACGGATGACCACAATACCACAAAGTACGGGTACGTTCTTATCCATTTAAACATCGTTTTGTAGGAGAAAAAGTTACGAATTTCATAAAGGAAAACACTCACCTCAACGGTAAAATGTTTCGGTGGTACCATCAGCACCCGTTTCAGTAATTGACCCACAGCGCGATTCATCGTTTCTGCTGACCTAGTATCGTCGTTCTGATCATCCATTATGAACAGTTCAGAAGCAATTTACGAACAAATGCAGTCAAAATGCGATGATATTGGTGCAGGAATGTGATAACATTGATAAGAGTGATAAGAACTGCACGGGTAGATATAATGAAAAACTGTGATGAATAATATGATAAGGTGATGAACTTAAAAAACGTTGATAGCAATAATCGATGCTTCAGAGCGATGCAATATAGTTTACAATGGTAATGTTGTTGTTATTATTGTTGTCTTGAATAAAAGAGATTATCAATACACTCAAAAAATAACCTAACTGATGAAATAAATCAGCAAGATTGATCGCTAATCACAGATCAACATCGATAATCGTTTCCATTGATTAATTAAATCACTATTGGAAACTGTTGTCGATCAAGACAATATCTTAAAGAAAACGTAATGGCTAAATTAATAACTATCTGACTTAAGAGGACTCTAGGTCTCTGCTTTCCATGTGAGGGCATTCTAGAGACGAGCGTATTGAACCTGACTGAAATAAGACATTCTGCAAATGTAGTCAATAAACTCGTTCAAGAACAAGTCGAAAAGCATATTAATATTAATGATAATGATAATCAAAGCAAAATGATAATGATAACATCAATAATGATAACACTACAATAGAGTTTAAAATAATTACAGTAGTAATGGGATTGATAGAGCTAAAAAAATCGTAAAAATATTGTATGCATTCACAAATTGTTTGGCGAATTTGTGGAAGCTTAAATCAATCGTGTGATGAAAAGTGAGTTGTTATCATATCATCGAGTTGATAAGAGTTAATATTGAAGTTGGCATTGAGCACTGTTATTGTTCTTTTCACATGATGATTGCTCGATAAAGAATCAATATTATTATCACCACGTCTCGAGATAGCCAATCTAACCGGTTTTATCAATTGCACTTGCACATTACTCATCAATTACCAATTTTTTCATTCATCTTTTCATATTTCTATTCTTATCTAAATTTGTACTCTTGATAACAGCAATAATGATAACATTACAATAGAGGCTAGATTGTATTGTTGATCAATTTATTATCAAATTTGTTATCAAGATTATCAAAATTTGCATTCTTGATCATATTTGATCAGATTTCTCGAGCATTCAACTTTTTTCCCGAAAATATCTGCAACAATTACCATAGCTTTGAGTTTACCTAAACATTTGCCCGCATCCAACTCATATGCCATATAGGAATATGAAACATTTTCAGTTACAACCTGACAGTGTGCTTGAACTGATTTTCAGTTGATATTCGCTGAAGCTGGGAGGAAAGTTCCACTAAACCCAAATTTTAACTTCATAATCCCAATTAAATGGATCGGAATGGGAATAGGTAAATGGGCAACGAATTTCTCCATTGTTTCATTTGCATTTAATGTTACGTGAGTTTTGCTGAGATATGTTGTTTTGAAGCACTGGATGATTTATCATCTGATCTTGCGGTTTTCCCGAATTTGCAATTAATCCTTCCATCGATTGATTGATTTGAACAACAGCAAATACGCAATACAATCAAATAATCGTTACAAGCATAAATATAAGCTTGTAATTGAAAGTGTAAACGAACTCACTTAAAAAATTATGTTTACAAGTGGTGTTTACTGCAACTCGCTCATTAGTTCGAGTAGTTCACTTTTGATCGCTATTATAACCAGATATTAACATTGTTGATGTCTCGATGAAATGAAAAGTGGGCTCACCTTGTTCTGCTCTCATTAAAAGTGGATTGCACTCAATATCATGAGGTCAATTGTGTTTATATGTGTAAGCATATTTCAAATCATCTCCTTGAGATAGTTATTTTTAACTTCATATTTCATTGTTTTGAACTGGTGTACTGATCGAAATGATACTGGTAAACTAGTAATAATTGGTAAACTGGTAATAATGATAGTGGTAAACTGTTTTATTACTACCTAAACATTTTCATTTTCAGAACAACGTGATCAATGATAATGAACGTTGACTGTTCTCATGTGAGAATAAGGACTAAATGAACATTTTAATGTTCACCTTTATAGATCAATATCACTTCATTCCAGTTGAATGCTTTTACTTGCAAGTAATCTGTTTCGTTCGCATAATATTTTGCAGATATTCAACTATTCAATTGCAAGTGTCGAACTAATAAGAAACTGGTATGATTATCATGAAAAATTCAGCGTTTTCATTAAACTTCCTCTTCTGCGAATAACGAGCATTAATGTGTAATTGACGAAAATAGTAATAGATTATGCGAACTTAAAAATGAAATAAAAATGAATACTGTATAAACAATAGTATGCGTGCACCTCATCATACGATACTTTATTTCACGTAATTCGATCGTTTATTTAACATTTTTTCAAAATTTTCCCATTTTATTGCATCGCATTTCATTCTCTGCACTTTCCTTTC